TGCTTAGCTTCCAAGATCTGACAGGATTGGGCATACCTGGGCCATCCAAGTCAGGGTACTGTATAAATTAGGGGCAGCCAAAATTTAAGGAAAGCATCTAAAAATCTCCATCTGATTTAGAGAGGTGGTTCCTAGATGTGTTCCTTGGGAGTTTGTTATTGTTACTCATTGAGAAGACATTGGTGGCAGATGGAGGTGGCACATAAGCGTCTCAGGATGTGAATGTTCTCACCACCTCCAGTCTTCACCTGGAAGGCCCAGTTTCAGAGGAGTGTTGTGCTGTATAGTACTTTCTCAGTTCACACAGAGCAATGGGAAGACCCAGCTGAACTCCCCTGCTCTGAATGGCATACCTTAGGCCACTTCCCAGAATCCCTTGCAACACCTAGGGGTTCTGTGGTGGACAGTCAAGTGTTCCCTGGCAAATAAATCCTTGCCCCACACAAATGGGGCTGGCAACCAGGCAGACGTATCGTGGAGGAAAAACTGCAGGATCAAGGGGCCCCAGGGGTTAGCGGAAAGCATCCTGATTGAGTGTTAGTTCAACAGATGCTTGGCGCAGTCTCCTAATGCCACTCATCCTCATCTTTGACAGGGACCCATAATGGAATTGTTTCTAGGATAGGCCTTGAACAGTAGCATGGATGGGAATTCGACAGTTACAAGTGTGGGCCCGCATAGGGTTGCCAGCCCCCAGGTCTGGGTGGGGGTTCCCCTGCTTTTTGGGTCTCCAGTCCACGGCCAGCCACCTGGCCAGTGGGGGAAGCCCTACCCCAAGCCCTGCCCAGAAGAGCGGCCACCTGTCTGGCCACCCATCTCCCTTCCCTTAAAGGGCTTCAGCTGATTGGCAGGGAGTCGGGCACCATTTGGCCTGCTGGTCAGCTGGAGGACCCTTTAAATCAAGCAGTAGGGAGGGAGAGGGGCGGTTGCTGGCTGCATGCTGGGCTTGCAAAAAGGGCCTTTAAAGAGTCTTTTTGGATGTGGGGTGGGGCCTGTGGCTGATCAGCTGAAGCCCTTTAAATCTGGCAGGAGGGGAGGGAGAGGGGTGACCGGGTGGGTGGTTGCTCTTGGGGGCAGGGCTTGAGGGTGTCCCTACCCACCCCGGAACGCCCCCCCCATCCCCCCATCGGAGTGACGAGGGGTCCTGGCAAACCTAGGCCTGCAAACATTTCATTTTCTCCTCCCCTCACTATTTCCTGCTTCTCTTCCTTGAAAGACCTCGTAGCCTCTCCACTTTTCCTGCTTCTCTCCTTCCCATTAATCATCCAACCTACCCTTTTCTGCCCCATTGTCTTCAGTGTTCACTCTGTCCCTCCCCAGTTTTGGCCAAGTTGCACACTATCGGCCACTGGACCCATTTGTACATTGCTGGCAGCTGGACTCAATTGCACAGTGGGTTACCTGCAAGGACTTGGGTAGCATACCTCACTTTGGCTGCGGTCACACGGAGCATTAGCCACGCTACTGAGACGAATGATAGGCGGATTTTCCGGGCGCGATCACACCGCAATATCTGGGAAGCGTAGAGCTCCCATGGCGAACCCGAGGCTTCCCACCAAAGATGCGGAGTTAAAAACTAGTACTTCCGAGGTACTAGTTTCCGGAAACCGTGGGGCAAGGGCTGGCGTCTGATCGCGTTTCCGGTGGTAGTCCATGGCATCCGGCGCCCGCCCATGTCCCGTCGCAAACAGGTTTTTTCCCCCCAAGTCTCCACAGGATGTGCACGAGCACCCAACGGTGCATGCGCATGAAGAGGAAAGTGAAAGTTCCGTTGCTCCGCAGAATCGCGCATGCCATTGGTGAGATCGTACCGCGCCGCTTCTTTGCCGTGCTGCAGGATCATCGTGTGATTGCCACCTCGCCCCTACCCACGGAACCTCGACGGGATGTGTGATTGGGTGGCCGCGTGTTATTTTGCTCCAGGCCAAACTGCCACGCTCCCCCCCCCCGCATTTTACGGCCCGTGTGACCGGGACCTGTCTCCTGTAACTCCTCCTCACACTGTTTACTCACGCTCTTTCCCTCCTCCTGACAAAACTTCTTTCCTCTCCTTTCCCTGCTTCCTTCTCTCCTTCCCACCTATCAACAAACCTACTTTTTATCTGCCCCCCTATCTTCAGCTATATTTAATTATTTACTTTATGCCTTTCTTTCTCCACAATGGGGAGCCAAAGCAGCTTACATCATTTGCCTCGCCTCCATTTTATCTACCCCCCCCCCATGATGTAGGTTAGGCTGAGAGTGTGTTACTGCCCCAAGGTTACCCAGTGAGCTTCCATGGCAGAGTGGGAATTTCACCCTAAGTCCTCCAGATCCTAGCCTGAAATTCTAACCACTACACTGGACTGGTTTTTGTGGGATGGCTGCTGTTGAACAGTAGCAAGCAGCTAGTCCTGGGTGTCATGCAATCATGTTGTATCAAGTTACCTGTGGTTGATGCCAGGCCTAGCCCGATGTGTCCTCCCTCAAAGGTGAAACCCCCCCCCCCTGGAAAGGTCTCTAGCCCTTTCCCTTGCCTTTTACTGGCAGAAACCAATGCTTGAAGGGTGACAATATTGTTGTGGTTTCCTAGCAACAGCCACTGAGGGCATTTGTTTCTTAAAGCTACAGGCACTGCTTCTGTCATTTTAGGGGGGGGTTAACCCCTAATGTGTTTTTTGTTTTTAAGATTTCAGATTTTTCTGCAAGCTTGGGGCTTACAAAACCCCACCTAAACAAATCCAGTGAAGGAAAGAAATATTGCCCTTGCACAAAGCACACACATGGATTTTTGCATGTCTTTTGGTAACTTGCCCAAGTATTGCCTTTAAAGACTGCAGTGCCTCCTTTATAGCACTGGAAAAACTAGGTCTTGCAAGGTGGCAAGATCTCTGTTTTCTTGAAGGGTGGAATGAGTGACTCTGTTGCATCTACTGAGCACAGCAGGCTGAGTATAGCTATGTTCCTGTGTTTTAATTTCCCCTTGTGATGCTGGAAACATTCTGATTCATAACATGGTTCATTTTGCTTGGACTAACAGAATGATGCTGATGCTCCTTCCAGCAGACCCAGAATTTCCCAAACCAAAGAGGAACTAGAAACTAGCTGCAGACTTCTTGATGACACAACTTTTCTGAGGTCCAGAGCTAAAATCTGTCATCTTCTCACTGACTTTACATTTAACTGTTTAGTTGGCTAGTTTATACCACTTCCTAAAGGCTTGGGGATGAGGAAAAAAAACAGTTCACATTAAACAAAATATTAGGGCTGTCACCCAGTTTAAAAAAGTCTTAGCCGCTTTCCTGTTTTTCATTTGCCCAGAAAGATGTGTCTGACTGTTGTGGAAACCAGGATTCTGGACTCTGGACTAGAAGGATTTCTGGATGACAGTGATCTGTCTTACATTCCTATGTTCTCAACAAGTGGAATATCACTCAAGCATTGGCCATCTATAAAAACTCTGAATAGATACCAGGAAGCCCCAAAAGAGATCTGGCCTTGGCTAAGCTCTTAGAAACTTTGATTTGATGAATTCACAGGTCGTAGTGAGATGATTGCCCATATTTCTCCATCCTGGGATATAACAGTGAAAGTATGCTTGGCCTTTCCAGTGTATTGGTTCTTCAACTCTGGCAGCTGTCCATCGATGACTGCCTTGTGCAGCTGATGCATAACATGATTCATTTGCTGAACTGATGGAAAGACACAGATGCTCCTCCCAGGAGACCCCAGAGTTTCCAAAACCAAAGAGCAACCCAAAACAAGGCATAGATTTGTCAATTACATGGCTTGACTTATGTCCAAAAGTAAAATCTTTCTGTTTTTCCTTTTGTCAAAAAATAGTGTTATGTTGAGCTCCATTATGTATCAATTGTCCTGTGAAGTTACCTATAGCTTCAGGTGTAAGTTACAAGTTCAGCAACTGCAGAAAGCTTTAGTAATTGAACACAATTGCCACATGTGCATGAAGGTTCCTGGTTTTATGACATCCTTTCTCACAGTTGTTAAAACATCTGTGTGCTTTCATGGGGACAAGATGTCACCCAGTTAGAACTTTAAATGTTAGTTCTGGAATAAACCAGATTAATGGGAACTGAGTACAATCTCCCATTTACATTGCTCTAATTCACAGTCAGTTTCCCAACTGGACTGTGTAACTTCACAATTGGTAGAGATCACATTTTCAATATCAGCAAGAGTGTGCCCTTAACATCTTGCAATGTAGGCACAGATGCACACCAGTTATCAAGTATGTGACCTGTAACATAACCAAATTAACTTCCTTGCAGTTTGTTCTTTCCGCTGGAGAGAAATATGGTGCCTAAATGATACAGATTTTTAAAAGATTTTTAAAATTCACCCCATTTCCCCCCTATTTTATTTATTTTACTTTATTTATATCTCGCCTTTGTCCCCAAGGGAACCCAAAGCAACTTACATTGTTCTCCTCTCCTTCACTTTATTCTCGCAACAACCCTGTGAAGTAGGTTAGGCTGAGAATATGCGACTGGCCCCAGGTCACCCAGTGAGCTTCCATGATACAAGTGGGGATTTGAACCTGAGTTTCCCAGATCCCAGTCCAATACTCTAACCACTACACCACACTGGCTGTCCTTTCTAAGAAACGGGAATTCACTTAACTTCATTAAATTCACAATGGTCCATGCAAGACGGGGAGGTATTAAATGTTTAGCTCACTGTTCCTATAAATACGTTGTAAGGCATTACTGGGTTGGGAACCTGAAAAAAATGTTAGTAATAAACTGAATTATGTTGATTCTAAACAAAAACAACGACACCCCCGTTAGTTCTTGAGTTTTCTATTTCCAGTAGTGAAAGTGAGAGATCTAGACCAGATGGGTCAGTTGATAAAGTTGTTATGCATCGTAGCACAAGTTGAAAGTCCGGACTCTGTAAAATTCGAACCCACCGCCTTCAGAGAGATTGTTCGGTGCTCAGTGTTCCCCACCTACACTGTGCCATCGTGTTCCTCAGGTGTCCTCTGTCCTTCCTTTTTCCAGGTATCGAGGATTAATTCTCCTGTTGACATTCCTGTGCTATACTAGCTACCATCTCTCGCGGAAACCGATCAGCATAGTAAAGGTACGTAGCATAAGATGGGGAAAGGGTGGCTGAGGCTGGTGTCAAGTGGTAGCATGGTGGGGCCCGGAGCCAGTTTGGTGTAGTGGTTAAGTGCGCGGACTCTAATCTGGGAGAACCGGGTTTGATTCCCCACTCCTCCACTTGCACCTGCTGATGTGACCTTGGGTCAGTCACAAGCTCTGGCACAGCTGTCCTTGAAAAAGAGCAGCTTGTGTCAGAGTTCTCTCAGCCCCACCCACCTCACAGGGTGTCTGTTGGGGGGAGGGGAAGGGAAAGGAGTTTGTAAGCCGCTCTGAGACTCCAAGTGAAGGGCGGGGTACAAATCCAATCTCTTCTTCTTCTTCTTCTTCTTGTCGGAGGAAACTTCTTCTGACCTTGGTCCGTCCACTTCCATGAGGCTGAGGGGGAAGTTCAGCTCCACTGCTGACCACATGCCGTGCTTTGCATCCTCCACCACAACCACCTACTTTGCAGGGATTCGATACCAGCCTAGGATGGGTCCAGGCAGGGGTCTTTTCGTAGAAAAAGAGCTGCAGGAGCTCATTAGCATATGGTATGCTAATGAGCTACTAGGATATTAGCATAATAGCCCATTAACATATGCAACGCCCCCTGACATCACCAGAAGAGATGTCAGAAGGGGAAGCAAAAGGGGGGGGGAGGCATTTTCAAAAGCCTTTTGGGCATCTTCAAAAGGCATCTTCAAAATCCTCCCCATCCCTTCCGGGGGGG